CCCCCCCCCCCCCCCCCCGTAGCTGGACACGTGCTTAGTAACGCGCTGGACGCAGGGCTTAGCGACGCGCTGTACACAGAACACACCTGAGAGTGAGACATTTAAGGGATCACTTGTACAAAACAAGCAATGGCTTCCCCCGCTGTACATTTAGCTCTGCTTGCCCAAAGCAGGGCTAAATGTAGAAAACAACTACCCACCCGGGGCCCAGAAATGCATGTCCCGGGCATCGGGAGGTAGAAATTCCACACCCCTGCTGCCCCTCTATTTCCTGCTGCCATGGTTGGCCTTGTGCGAAATCCGGCCCTGCTCACATGCACACATACAGGAACAGAAGCCAACTAACCTATCAGCATGTCTTTGGAGTGTGGGAGGAAACTGGAGTTACCAGAGGGGACCCACGGAAGTACAGGAACATGCACACTCCTTGCAGATAGAGTCCTGACCAGAATTTAAACAAGGGACCCTCAGTGCTGCAAAGCAGATGTGCTTACCACTATGCCACTGTGCTGCCCCAAGCTAGACACGCCCGCTTTTTCCATGGTATGCATCGTATGCCACTGTGTTATCACCCTAGTTTCTTTTTTAACATTATTTAAAAAAATGCAAATTGCACACGCAAAGCTAAGTGTTTGTTTTGTTTTTTACCATTTGGATAGGACAGATAAGCACTATAATCTCCATCGGGTTTTTTGCTGTCTGTGCATAAGATTTCCCATTACTTTTTTCTGCAAGTGACAGAATCCACCCGGGGTAAGAAGGCAAATTAACAAAATAAAAACACATATTTTCTATTAGAGTAAGAAGAGATATAAAATCTGACAACTTTATTTTGTCTTTGAAATCAGATCTCTCTGAAGAGGGATCAGTAAATCAGAATCTCTCTGAAGAGGGATGTAGATAGAAATAACATGAGAGAGAGATCTTTTCCACCCGTTATGGTAGTATTGTTTTGGGGGGTTTAAGTTGTTTTGGGTTTATCCATGACATCTAGCCAATGAACACAATGCAATGCCATTTTATCCTCCAGGGAACTTTCCTTCGCTTATATCAGACTTGCATTGACTTCAGTGGGCAACTTTTAAAGGTTAAGTGCACCTTTAACCACCTCATTACCATCACCTTCCCTTCCAAAATGAGAGAGAGAGATCTTTTCATTTTTAAAAATAAATATTTTCTACATTATAACTATTATTATTTTTTTATTATTTTGTTGTCCTAAAATGTAATATATTATACAATTATATAGATAAATAATTTACT